GAGTCAACATTTCTTTAAGTTGTAAAAATGCTGGAAAGTTTGAATGTCAAAGAAAAATATAGGCAAGAACAGCATCAAAGGCACACACATATATATGTATGTATATATATATATATTCTTACAACAAAATAAGTTGGAGAAAAGAAAATGTTATTTAAAAAATCATAAGGTAGAAAAATACATTTGCAATATTTATTGAAAAACAATCCACATATAAGTGGACCCGTGCAGTTCAAACCCATGTTGTTCAAGGGTCAACTGTACACTCCTCACAAAATTGAGTGGGTGGAAGACTACTGTGACTTCAAAGTTGGAGTCTCTGTATTTTGATTCCCAGAACCTCCAAGCCCTAGGAAGCTGAATGAGCAGTCACTACACCTGGCAATTGGTAGACCCCCTTGCCTCTTTCCTTGTCTTTCCCTGGCTGGTTCTGATGGTCTTCCCACCGATATGTTTAGTCTTGCCCTTCTCAGACAAGAATACAAGAAGCTTTTATAGAGCCTGGGGCCTTTGATCTCTTTGCAATCAGGAAAACTCTAATATTAAATGTCCTGGAGCGAGTTCATTTGCTTGTTTTAAACTAGTAAACACCTGGCTACTTGCCCTACATCAGGGTGTAATGTCTCATGTGCTGGGTTTACACATTGCCTCCTAGTCTTTTGTGATATCTACATGGGCCTCCTGTACTTGTCTTGCCTTTGAGAGCTGTCAACCTCCTTTGCTTTTGCTGGTTCTACTACCTGAGAACTGAAGTTTTGCCATGAATTCCAATTCAGGGCACATATCCCTGATGCTCTTACACAGGCCAACTGGATGCAGGTGGTCAATATCTCTGAACCTGCATTGTGGACTTCTGTGGCTGACCGTTTGGTGGAGGCTACTACAGCCCTGAAACTTGGGGCTTTCTGCCTCTCGGGGGTATCTATTCTTTCAGCCCTGAAATTAGTACAGGCCTCCTTGGGCCAGGCTTACATGACTAAGAGGGCCAATATCAGATTAATTACACTGCCCTCTGCTCTGACTTGCTAAGAATCAATATTTGGTGTGTCCCTGATAGATCTCAAACTATACTATTAACATCTAATACACAAGAACTCTCTTGAAGTGAATGAACTTTTAAAATGTGTTCAGATCACAGGGCCATGGTACCTGCGTGTTAGTAACAACCTTTGCAAGTATTCATTTTTGGGGGGGGGGGGGGGGGGAGGGGGGGGAATAGTCTCATAGTCTCACCTCCATAGGAAGAAAAGAGGGATTGGATGTCGGGTGACTAACATCCCAGTTTTTCCAGGACTCTTCTCATTTTAGACTGAAAGTCCTGAAAACTGAGATGATCGGTCACCCCAGAAAAATGAGTCACTCTCTCTTGTTTGTCTTGATCTATAGAACGAGAAAGGACTTGGTTTAACTGCTTATAAAATTATAATCTGATGATTCCCTTTTAAATTACAGCCTCTTTCTGTCCACATAGCACACGATAACTACACAGTACTTCCAGCCAAATGGGATCCTTAGACCTTTCTCCCTTTTAAGGGAACTTTTCCCTTCCCTACATGACTCTCCCTGTTCCTAAGACTGTCATTAATACTGCCTTCTAGATTTCAGCAGATCATCTTGACCCAGACAATAACCCTGGCTCTACTGGGAACTCTTTTATCCAAGTCTAGCAGTTGTCCAAGTTTTCTCATTGCTTTGACTGATGCACTGTATAGTCCAATTTTCTTCATCATACCACCGGTGTTTAAATCAGGAAGGGACTAGAAACTCAAATGCCATGTTAAACCAAATAAACAGGTTGTTGTTGTGTGTGTGCTTTTTTAGGACTTCTTAAAATCTTAATTTGCTAAATATACACTGTCAATCTCCAAAGGGATCAAGTGCATTTACTTTTTCCCAAATGTACTTGATCATGGTTGCCTTTGGAAGAATAACATTATTAATACCTTGTGGAACTCACGTCTGTTTGTATAAAATGTGGGAAGTGCTACTATAAGTGGAAAATCACAGACTTTGGTGCCAGAGAGCTATGAGTTCAAACCTTAGTTGCGATGCTTTTTAGTTGAGTGATTTATTTACCTAACCCATCTGTAAATCTTTTATTTGTTTAAATTTCCATGTTCTTGTTCTTTTAAAGGAAATAGAGGAGGGGGGAGTTACAAGGACAATTTCTGTTTCCTTTTACTTATACCAGGTATTGCCTGTTGGGACTGTTGCAAGGATTTACCAGATCATGTATCAAAGGCACCCGGCAAGAGTAAGGGACTACCTCAGTAGCTCATGGGGTGGATGTAACTTAAATATCTCACTCTAGTGACTATAACTCCATGGGAGATTAATAGAACAAAGCTAAAACTAAGAGCAGAAAGCCAATGTGTGCTATGATTTGACGGGAGAATGTATACATAAAACCATTGATCCCCTTGCCTATCATTTCCGAATTTATTTCCTCGGAGACATTTTTATCATCTCAAATTGTTATTAAATGACCCTTTAGTTGACATTGATTAAATGAGTATGCAAAAGAGTAAGCATGTCAAACATTTTAAATTCTCTGGATGATGAGGTTATTGAGGTTTTTACTTTCTTCTAACTGTTTAAAAAATAAACACATTTTTTTCCAGAATGGAGAGAGAGAGAGAGAGAGAGAGAGAATAGGAAACAAAAATAAATGGGTAGAAAGAGAAGAAAACCAATGCATGCTTTGTTCCCCTACTTGGATATCCACAAGGCATATTAGCATAGTAAAGTCTCTTCTGGGGGATAGGTGGAGGAAAAAAAAGTGATAAAGAGGAGGCCAGAAGCCATTAAAGATACAATTCACACCCTTAACATTCAACAAATAATAAGAGGTGAGAAGGCTAGAGACCCAACTGCTCAATTCCTGAGCCAAATGTTCTATTTTGAAAACAAAACAGAAAAAACTTCCAAGTCCATACTCAGTCTTATTTCACAGACTAGATATGTTTCAGAAAAGCTGAACTTCATGCAGTTTATTAAGTACATTTTCCCACAGACTTTCATTATAGGAGCAGAGATATATTTCCTGGGAGAAGAATTAGGCCAACATATGGTATTACATCATATGTCATAGCAACAAAATAATTTTATCTACTGTGTGATGCTAAGAAGGATATTTCCCATCAAGAGGCTTCAGTTTTCTCCTGAAAACAGGGATAATAACAATAATAATAATAATGGCCATTCCCAGAGTGATTACGAGAATCAAATTAAATAAGTTACGTGAAAAGCCCTACTAGACTGCTACCACCCCAAGGATAGGAAGTGGGTTCATCTTGCTCATCATTATATTTCAAGCATTATCTCAAGTCTGGCATATGGCCGGTACCCAGCATGTCAGTGAATGAGTAAATTAATACTTTCTACTCAAAAACCCTCAGCAAATTCTTGTTTGATTTTTGTTCAATCCTTTATATAGATTAGGAGTGTTTCATAACAGTGTTCTAAGACATCTAGATTTCATTGCATCAACTGTCCACTCCATTTCATGCAAGAAAGAGCACTCAATGTATACATGGTGGTGGTGATGAAGATTTAAGTTTTTTGGTGTTTGTCTGTGTACCATCCCATCGGACATTGGCTTGTACACAGTAGCTCTTAAGCAATATTTGTAAGTGATGATAAATATCAGCTTGGACTACAGGCGTACCTTGGAAATAATTAGATTCAGTTCCAGACCACCACAATACAGTGAATATCTCAATAAAGTTAATCACACAAATGTTTTGGTTTCCTAGCGCATATAAAAGTTATGTTTACACTATACTTACACTATAGTTTATTAAGAGTTCAATAGCATTGTCTTAACTTCCTCCAATAGATGGCTGTTTCATTTACATGGAAAATCTGTTTTTCAGTGTAGCCGCCTTCATTAATCACCTTAGCCAGATAACTTGCTACAGCTTCCACATCAGCAATTGCTGCTTCACCTTGCACTTTTAAGAGCCATATTATAAAGAGGCTTCTTTCCTTAAATCTCATGAGCCCACTTCTGTTAGTTTCAAATTTTTCTTCTGCAGCTTCCTCGCCTCTCTCAGCCTTCATAGAATTGAAGAGAGAGGGGGCTTGTTTAGGAGAATGGTGTGTCTGGTTTAATCTATCCAGACCACTAAAACTTTCTCCATATCAACAATGAAGCTGTTTTGCTTTCTTATTATTCTTGTGTTTACTGGAGTATCACTTTTAATTTCTTTCAAGAACTTTTCCTTTTCACTCACAATTTGGCTAACTGTTGGAAGAAGAGGCCTACCTTTAAGCCTATCCTGGGCTCTCAAAACGCCTTACTCATTGAGCTTAGTCATTTCTAGTTTTTTATTTAAAGTGGAAATGTGTGACTCTGTCTTTCACTTGACATTTAGAGGACGCCGTAGGGTTATTAATTGCCCCAATTTTAATATTGTTGTGTCTCAGGGAATCGGGAGAGCAGAGGGGAGGGAGAGAGATAGAGAGCAGCTGGTGGCAGAGCAGTCAGAACACAAACAACATTTACCAATTAAGTTTGCCTTTGTGTATGGGCATGGCAGTGTGTACTTACTGAGAAAAATAGACTGCTACTCTGCCTGCAAAGAACTCCAGAGCATACTGATCACCTGAAGGTCGGCCTTACCTACAGGTACATCGTGTTTGACACAAAAGGTTTGTTACCTGTTCAAGTGCCTCTTCCAGAAAAGAAATGAAACTCCTGCCGTATGATCTTCCTTAAGAAAAAAAAAAGCCTGTAACTTTCATTACTGACTCTTACCTTTGACGAACTTGGCAAACGTACCCCACCAACAGTTCACGGGAACCAGGAACAGCCCTCAGGACAGTGCAAGTGTTCAGGTAACAGGAGGGGTGTG